AGTATTGACTCGGTCCGAGTCAAAACTTTGACTCGACCGAGTCAAAACATCAGCCAAGCCCAAAACACTTTCTGGGCTTTGGCCCGCGTGGAACTGACTCGGTCCGAGTCAAGTACTGACTCGGTCCGAGTCTGGAACTGACTCGGTCCGAGTCAAGTACTGACTCGGTCCGAGTCAGAAGGCTGAAACTCGTTCCGACACTCTGATTTGGTCCGAGAACCGGTTGTTCGACCAAATCCAAGTGTATCTTTCCGATACTTCACATATAAGTCCATCCCATATGGTGTGTGACCCTGTAGGCCCATTCGCAGTGGCAGTAGCCTCGAGAACCATTTCCGATCTACAAGTCATGGTTAGCCTCTAGCAAGACGCCATGACCACCCACGTTGAATTGAGTTAGAGGTGATCTAATCAAGACAATAACAGCTCGAGTTCTGATCCTTTATCTCCCGATATCATATGTTGAACAAGGGCATGGTTTGAGCCACCCTTCAAGTTCAACCGCTTTCTCGTCTTGGCAAATCGACTAATAAAATAGATGCAACTTCATCTATAGCGTGGCCACGCATTTTCATAGTCCGACTTCCACGAGAGGGCCCAACGATATCTCTCCTATTGAGGTGGTGACAAGTCCCATATTGCATTTCTATTATCTCCATATGATTCGTGAACGTATATGATCAACGTCGTTATAATCATCCGGTTAAAGACGACGTTTGACGCAGTCAAGACACGCCACTCCTCATATCAGATACTCTAGACATCTCAGGTCTGAGGATCCAAGAACGAACCGATGTATGAGATTCAAGTCATGACTCTGTCCATGTGACAATCTCATGCGGGTCAACCAGTCACTCATTCATAACGAGTACCCATGATTGTGATATGCATCCAATGCATCGATCACACCTCACGCTAGTCTTAATTCATCATTGTTCCCACAATGATAACTGACCAGGGTGTTTAGAATCATTCTATAATGATTCAAGGATGCCGAAATATAACAAACATGCCAATCATATAACGGGAATATAATGCATTCATAAATCAATGAACCAATACAAAGTCAAAATGTCATATCATGGATCATCCTAGAGCATTACAACCAACACAACTTCATTACGATGTAAATACTGTTGTATTACGACTTATAAATTTTTGAACAGCTTCTGAATGTTTTTATGTACAGGTTTCCGAAAGTTGCTGAATATTTGAAGAAGAGTGTTGAACCTGTCAAATGGACAAGATGTTATTTTCTTGGAGAAAGATACAACCTATTGACAACCAATTATGCGAAGACAATCAATTCTGTATTGAAGAAGGCGAAGACGTTACTATGCTCGGTTTGATTGATGTGATTGTGGATAAAACAGTGGAATGGTAGTGTAAACACAAGGAACACGCATAATCAAGTACACAACAACTAACACCATATGTAGAGAAAGAATTGCATAAGCGGTATAGAACTTCCTCAAAACGTGGACAACTTTATCGATTTGGCAGACTGTGACCTACCATCTTTGGAAGAAAAGAAATAACAAGCTCCATCGAGGACAATTCTGAGACTCCGCACACGTATTCGAGACATTGATGGAGCTTTATGTGAGAAGGTTGTGTCAATCAGACTGCATTCCCTGATCTTGGAGGGCTAAGCCTCCAATTCTGGTTTGCGTCCACGATCTAAGTATATGTTGCATACTACTAGTTTTAATTGGGTCATTAACTGAAATACCCTCCTTTTGCTAAAACCACTTCTGCATATACTCTCCTCCAAATGTGACTATGTGACCAAAATAACTGTATGGTCATATGATGATCACATACTATTAAATTTATGATGATCACACCAAATCATCATGGTCACTCTTTACATATCACACTAATCACTTAGTAAAATAATCATGAATTTAATGTTATGACCACCATGTGACCATATAGTTATTCTGGTCGCATGATCACATCTGGAAGAGGGTATGTAAAGAAATAGTTTTAACAAAACGAGAGTATTTTGGATATTTTATCGTTTTTTAATTATACGTAGTAATGTTGTCACTTATGATGGTATATTACTCAGGCAGCAAAACTGTAAACTTTTTTACCTTTTAATATATATAGGCCATTTATAAAAAAAACACCGTAGTAATCTCCTGTTTATGAGTGGGCACGGGTTGGGTACCCCTGATTTTGAGGATACCTGAACCCGAATCCGAACCCGAACCCGACGAGTTATTCATTTCAAAACCCGAACTCGAACCCGACTCTCCGGATATCCGAACTATATTACCTGTGAAATAATTTCTGGATATCCGCGAATACTTGAACCCGACTAATTTAAACAAATTTTAATTAAAAACTCTCAAATTTATATTTCATACAAATAAATTATAAAATTAATGATAAATATTTATACTAAAAATAAATAGATTATAAAATGATAATTTTTTGTATAAATAAATATAAAAACAATTAAGTATTAACAATTTAAAAGTATATTATTTACTTTTAACTATTCGGGTATCCGCGGTAATTACCGGATCTAAAAATACAAATCCGAATCCAAACTCGAATTTCGGGTTTTAAACATATTACTACCCGATCTCTATCTCATTGTATTGCAGATACTCGAAATTCGGGTACCCAACCCTTGGGTCGGGACGGATACCCACAATTCGGGTAATTTTGTCCTCCCTCCTCCTAGACGGTTCGATTGCGTCCACGTACTTACGTGGTGCCAGTAACATATAACCGTTCGATATTTGACACGTGTCGAACCGTGTGATGCCATCTTTTCCTTGAAAAAGAGTGGCGCTTCTTCGCTTCAAGCATACAGAAGAAGCGCCAACGATTTTGGATCCAATTCTCTACCTTCTGTCTCTTTTCCATTTTTCTTTTTGCCGATCAATTTTGTTTCCTTCATTGGATGTTTTATCGCATGAAAAGGAACTGAAAGGTCACGAAAGGCTCAAACCGAATTTCTGGTGAAATCTTCTTATTCTCAAGCATATTATCTTTTCGGTTACTTTTATATGCTTTGTGCTCTTCTCATTCCAATTCTCTCTCTTTTTTTTCCATTGTTTTGGGAATATCAGATTGATTTTCGTGGCTACTTGGAATTTGATTTGAACCAGTGAGTGTTCTTTTCTGTTCTTATTTATATGGGTTGTTATTTGTCTGATTTGATTCGATTTCCCGAGTTTTGTTGTTGTTTTTTGCTGTTTGTTTCATGGGAAAATCTTGGAAATGGTTCAGTATGCTTAATTTTGCGGAACCCATGCAAGTCTAATCGAGAAGAATCCTGTATCATTAGCAGCAATGAATTGAAATTGTTGTAAATTTCGGACGATCTGACTCAAAACCGAAATGAACGGAATAAGAAGAATTCATGTGACAGATTCCAAATAAATTTGGGATCAAGGCGATGTTGTTGATGTTGGATTTGATCCTTTGTTAGCAAAACCTTCGAATCTGTAACAACAGCAATGGCATTTATAGCTTTGGAGTTTGGATTAACCTCTCAAATTTCTAATCTTGTAGCAATAGTCATATATATTTTTCATGCGCTCTATTTCGTTGGATAGAATATAGAAGATCAAAATAGAGGAGGCCATAATTTTGATTTTGCCACTACCCAAGGTTCAGGACATTGTAGCAAACATGGAGCGGCTGACATCTCCTCCTCGTCTGATGATAGTCTCGGATCTTGATCATACAATGGTAAGCCTTTAACTATCTTGTTTTTCTCAAGCTGTTTGTGCTTGTACGATTTTGCTTTGATATCTGGATGTTACGTAGGTTGATCATCATGATGCTGAGAACCTTTCTTTGCTTCGGTTCAACTCATTGTGGGAAGATGCTTATCGCCATGACTCTCTTCTTGTTTTCTCATCTGGAAGATCTCCCACTCTCTACAAGGAGCTGAGGAAAGAAAAACCCATGCTAACCCCCGACATCACCATCATGTCTGTAGGGACTGAGATAACATACGGTAACTCCATGGTTCCTGATGATGGTTGGGTCAAGGTGTTGAACACGAAATGGGATCGGGAAATAGTCAAAGAAGAAACTAGCAAGTTTCCTGAGTTAACTCTTCAGGTAATGCATGTTTTTTTACCAAAGTATGCCCCCCTTCCACCATCGATTTGGTCATGCTCTTTAATGACCATTGTCTGGTTACTGCATGCAGTCAGAAACTGAGCAAAGGCCTCACAAGGTTAGCTTTTACGTTGACAAGACTAAGGCTCAGGCAGTGACCAAGGAACTATCAGAACGGTTGGAGAAACGTGGTGTAAGATTGATCTATTGCTTCGATTATATTCTCATAAGCTATGCAGCTCCTTATAATTGTCTGTTATGAAGATGATGGTATTGTGTTTTTGCAGTTAGATGTCAAAATAATTTACAGTGGAGGCATGGACTTGGATATTTTACCACAAGGTGCCGGAAAGGGACAAGCCCTTGCCTATCTGCTAAAGAAGCTGAAGACTGCAGGAAAACTGCCAGTTAATACTCTTGTTTGTGGGGACTCAGGAAATGATGCTGAACTATTTAGCATTCCCGATGTTTATGGCGTCATGGTTGGTATTTATTCACCTGTGTTTCACCAAATCTCCACCTGTGGGTCGAGGGTTTTTATCCACTTTCGATTTCCATCTTGCATCTGTTTTTTTTCAGGTGAGCAATGCCCAAGAAGAGTTGTTGCAGTGGCATGCTGAAAACTCTAAGAACAACCCGAAGATAATCCATGCAACTGAGAGATGTGCAGCTGGGATCATTCAAGCCATTGGTCATTTTAAGCTTGGTCCTAACCTTCCTCCAAGAGATGTTTCTGATTTCTTAGAATGCAAGGTTGAAAATGCAAATCCTTGTCACGAGGTTGTGAAATTCTTCTTGTTCTATGAGAGATGGAGAAGGGGTGAGGTTGAAAACTGCGAGACATACCTAGCAAGCCTTAAATCTGCATGTGTAAGCATACTTGTTTCTCATCAAGTCACAGAATTAGAAACGTTGTCTCTGCGTATTAAACAGAGCTGATTCCTTTTCCCAATTCTTAAAATTTCAGCACTCCAATGGTATCTTTGTCCATCCATCTGGTGCCGAAAAGTCTCTTACTGACACTATTGATGAGCTCCGGAAGTATCATGGAGACAAACAAGGAAAGAAATTCCGTGTTTGGGTCGACCAGGTCCTTGCAACAGATACCACTCCCGGGACATGGGTCGGGAAGCTTGATAAATGGGAACAATGTGGTAAGCCTTCAAAATCTGCCAAACCCATTTTGCATCCGAGGAAACTTATCAATTTGAGAAGTAGTTGAATACCCGTTTCTTGAATGTATATATATATTCGTCCACTTACAAGTTTGGTTCTTCGAATATTTTCTTATCTTCATCTGAAACTTAACGACCCTTTTCGTTCCACTTGTTTCTTTTCCGAAGGAGACGAACGAAAAGGATGCACTACCACTGTCAAGTTCTCCTCAAAGGTATCAGATTCTTGAAGCCAGAGAAAGATGCTCCATTAACACTACAGGAGCTCTCTGGTTTTCTTTTCTTCTCCTTGTCGTGAGTAACTAATGAACTAAATGCATTGAAAACTGCAGGAAGGCGAAGCAGAGGAAGGTTTCATGTGGCTTAACGTGCAGCAATCATGGTCCGAGGAATCAGCCGTGAAGGATGATAGCAACTGGATCATCTGAAACCTCTCTATCTTGAAATGTTTCTGTTTGCCGAATAAGTAGCGACAAAAAGAAAAAGGCGATGAGCTACAATCCATGGATATATAGAGAGAGAGAGGTAACTTCTGGGGAGCAGTATTCATCTCGTATTATCAATTTCTGTTTAGAAGCTCGAACATTGTACCTTGATTCCGAACCCTCAATGGAATTTCCAAATGAGATTTCTCTTTGTTTCAGATGAATGCTGTCTTGGTTCGGTAGATTTATGCAATAGGAAACACAGTATTGAAACTGGTAAATTTCTTGGTTGTGGACTGGATCTAGAACCAGGTGAAATTAGAGAGTTCTTGGAGAATGATATACCAAACTAGTTGGTCTAAAAAATACAATAGAATCCCAAGTTTATTTGGTATTGGACGAATGAATTTTTTTTTCCATTCTTTTTGCTTTTGGGTCAAGTCTTGCGAAATATATAAACATTTCAAACGAGTTTAGGTCTGTTTTTATCTTTCTCCAGAATTTTATGTTCTACTACTATCATCCTACGTTTTACATAACCAAACTATCTTATATGTTATTCTCGTCATTGTCATTTCTCTTCTATACGTACCATCCCACTTTTTCTCTAATATCTCATTCCGAATTTTACCTATGTATGAGTTTGCTCTTGTCTAAAGAGTCTCAAATCTGGATAAAGAAGCAAGATTTTATAATAGGTGACAACCAACTAAATAAAAGTTCATGTCATGTCTATATACAATGAATTCAAATGATATAAATATTCGATCATCCTCTACTTACGCCACGTTATACCGAAATCCGATTATAGTGAAGAATAGACACTTGTATAGAATATTCCCCCAAATGCGACGCATTATTTTGGCGTCCAGATATGGTACTAAATAGGATTCCCACATCGTAGACGTGTGTGGATAAAGAAGTTAATCCAAAGTTCTTATTGTAAGAATTAAATCGTTATATGGCCCATGTAATTTGGACTTTTGGTTTTTTAATATTAATTTGGTTCTTTGATGGATAATTATCCATGAGAGAATTAAAGTTCAAGAGTATTATTGGAAGTTTTAGCTCTCCATATCCGAATACAGATAGGGTTTCTACCCTTAATAAAAGGAATATTATAGTTTATTAATTCTATCAGTAAAAAAAATAGTACAAAAGAAATGGTAGAAAACGCAGAAACCTATTGATTATTAAAGTATTTCTGCTACAATACATGGTTTCAGGTAAGTTTTTCTAATCTATGCTTTATTGATAGTTTGTATGAATTATCCAAAGAAAGATCCAGTTTATTATTTGGATTTTCATAAAATCCAATCAGTGAAACCCTAAAATTATCATACAATGACATTATTAAAGTTTAGTTAGGGTACAATAAACATTATTATAGGAAGAGTGATAAGAAAACTTCGGTGGAATGGAGTGTTAGAGTGGACATTTGGATTATCGGATCGTTGACGGGAAAATAGATGGAACTAGTCTATATGATGTGTAAAAGGTGAGTGAATATTGCTTATATCCAAGAGACTAAGTGGGTAGGAGAGAAAAATTATGAGATTAAAAATATGGATTTTAGATTTGTAATACTCGAGTCAAGAACCTGATATAAATGGGGTTGATATTATTTTAAATGTCTTTGAAAGAGTCGGTTATTGCAATAAAAGAGTAGGAGATAAGATCATACTAGTAAAAATAGTTATAGAAGGAGAAATTATCAACGTGATTAGTGCTTATACGCCACCAGTAGAATTATAGCGAGTGTAAGTAAAAAGTTTCGGAAGGATATGGATAATCCCATGCAAAGTGTATAGTCCGAAAAGTTTTTTTTTTTATTGGTGGTGATTTAAATAGACATGTTGAAAAAGATTGAGAAGGGTATGGAACTAATCACCTTATTCGATTCGATTGTTTTCTCGTTCATTGAATATACTATAAATAATAGATGACAATCATCTATAGTACGACCACACATTTTCATAGTCCTACTCACTCGCGGGACTCCAAGATATCACTCCCATTCCAAGTGAAAAAATCTCATCTTTACTATCTACTATCTTCCATAACGTATTTAAACAATATCGTTATAATCATCCAGTTAAAGATGACGTTTGATATAATCAAATCACTCATATTAGATAAAATAGATATATGAAAATCGATGTGAGGATCAAAGCGAACCATTATTTGAGATTCAGTCATAATTCATATGCATGTGATAATCTCATGTTAATTATGGAGTCTCTTGTTCTAAACAAGTACTCATAGTCATTATATCCTATACATATGATATTTTTATGATCATTCATCAAATCCCATTCAAGTTTTAATTAAACATTGTTCCATTAAGGAATTTTGAATTGTTTCAAACAATTAATAGATTTAAGTAGTTTTTAAAATTGTATACTGATAACATATACATATTAGTATATTTTTGTATAATATATACATTGTATCTTACGATATTTATACGTTTATAGGTTTATAGGTTTTATCGTGTACAATTTTACTCCAATTTCGATGTTTCTATATTTTGTAAGAGTGGAAAATGGACTTCACCGAGGTATTTTCATGGGAATCAAACGAAAACGTATGAGCACCGAAATCATTTCGAAAAAAAAAACGATCACGACCGTAATTACAATCGCGCGATCTGATATATGTATAGGTATATAATAATATATATGTCTTAGTGCGATGTATATATAATACTATATAAATATATGTATATGTGCATATACGTATAATTGTGTACGTATTTGTTTGTATATGTATAGTATAAGTATATATATATGTAAGTATATATATATGCACGTATATATAGTATGCATATATGCACGTATATTATGCATATATATTAATATATATATATATATATATATATGAATAATACATGTAAAGCGTATGCATATATAATATGTATTTATATTAGTATATAATATGTGGATATATATGTGTGTACAATATACGTATATTTATATATATATATATTATAAATATATATAAAATATATATACATATATATATACGTACAGATTAATATATGTATAAACTATACAAATATATGCTTGTGTATACCTATATAAATATATGTATATATAGCATGTGTGTATATATATAATACGCCTACATATTAATATATATACTATATTATGTACAATATGTATATATATAATATAGTATGAATGTGATAATGCGTTTGATTTGCATGCTTGTCTTGTTCTGCCGATTGTGTGATTATCAGCGACGATCGTGCGATCAAATTAAAAAAAGCATGCACACTACACAAGTGCCAGCCGCCCACCTGTCATGAAGTGACGATTGTCCCCAATGATGTCGTAATCGTCCAACACGCTTTCCTTGATTTACGCTACTCGCGCGACAATGAAACGGACAAACACTTCACCGATTTCTTTATTTAAGCAGATGTAGAGAGAAATATTCGGGACAGACACGGAGATACAGAGAGACCTCGGAGAGCAAGAGCCGAAGAGGAGGAAGCTGCCGCATACATCTCTGAGCATCTATTTCTCTCTTTCTTAATTTTAATTTTATGTGTTGCCGTTTAATTCTTGTTGTCTTTTACCGCTATGTGTGAGTAGTTTTTCTGGTTGTAGATTAGGGTTGCGGTGTGTAAGGATTATGTGTTTATAAATTATTTTTGCAATTATGGGTTTGATAATTTGGTTTGAATGAATAATGTTTAATGCTTTAAATCTTATCGGCCATCTGATTTATTGATTCTAGAATTTAATTTGCAAAGGAATACGAAATTAAATTCAGAAAATATTCATTCGAATAGATGGTTCTCGCATCGGAAGATTATGTTGGGTTTTCCTGGGATCTCGAGAGCGAATCTAATTCCTAAGAGATCAGTTATAGGGTTTGCGCAGCGGATGTAAAACAAAATTTTTGATGAAACCCTAAAACCTATCATGCATGATCTTGTAGAAACGTTAGAACGCTTACCTCAATCGATCCGGGGCCTGTATCAATTGATGTGTTCGTCCGATCACTGTAGGCAGGAAGAATACTTTGCCCTCTACACGTATCCACACGGCAGAAAGGATTCCAACGGTTGGAACTCGTCTGCTAGGACTGAAGAACACGTTCTTCTTTGCACAACGGTTTCAGGGATCTTTCTCTTAGGTTTTCACTCTCAAAACCTCTCAATAGGGTCTGAAAATCGTGCCAAGAGAATTAGGAGGCGTTCCTTCAAGTTTATCCCCCTTAAAACCCTAATTAGAGCGAGTTTAGGAAATCCCGACATCTGGACCGATCGGTCCCGGCCTGGACCGATCGGTCTGGAGCTATTTACGTCTGGACCGATCGGTCCATGGTTCCGGACCGATCGGTCTGGAACACTTTCCAGACCGTGTGACTGTCACACGTTATCTCCGGACCGACCGGTCCAAGTGTCTGGACCGATCGGTCTGGGTTGGCTGGACCGATCAGTCTAGACTTCTAGACCGGTCGGTTTGGCCTCCGCTCCACCGAGATTTTCTCGTCTCTTCTCGCACATTTGTCCTTTCCTGTGTGTGTGACCCTGTAGGCTTATCCGATATAGCAGTATAATCCGAAATCTCTATTCCGGATATACAAGTCATAGGCGGTCTCTAGCAAGACACTATGACTACCTATCTCGAATAGAGTTTGTTCGTGATCTTACGAACGCCAGTGATGATTCCGGTTGATGATCCTTTTGTATCACGATATTATATGTCGAATATAAGGCATGGACAAGCCACCTTATCTGATTCGACTGCTTTCTCGTTCACTGAGTTCGACTGTCTGAAATAGACGACATTCGTCTATAGTGCGACCGCACATTTCTACAGTCTCGCTCACATGAGGGGCCCATCGATATCTCTCTCTTTTACGAGAGGTACAAATCTCATCTTGACTATCTACAATCCGGCACATGATTCGTCGTCCAGTATTCCGTTCTCCAACGAATACCTATGACTGTGATCGTATCCAATACCTATGATCATCTATATGATCATCAATCACACATCATACTAGTCTTGTTATATCATTATTCCCACAATGATACATGACTAGGGAGGTTAGTATTATTCATAACAATACATGGATTTCATAACATATTAAAGCATGCACAATACGTAATGAATCAAACACTCATCCATAAACTATAGAAAGTGTCAATACATCAAATGCATCCAAGTAAAGCTCGCAAACAGTACATCATAGAGTACTAAA